GGTCCAAACTCAGCAGGATTAAAGTTCGCTACAGGTGGCCATGGAGGAAGATGTTTGTCGCAGATTTCAAGGAACGTTTGCACAATAGTATCCAGTTTCGGAACCGAGCCATCAGGGAAATATAACTCATAATGCTCCAAGTTCTTCTCTAGAACCTTATTCCTGTCATACATCTTATTGTTCAATCTGACTACAGCCTTTATGTTCAATTCCTTCAAAAATACCAAAAGGTCTTCAATTTTGTACATTGGCCTGAATCTTGTTGACCTGATTGTCGGAAGCCTATTCCCTCTTTTGACCTCTTCATGAAATGCAAGTAATCCTGGTGGTGGATTATCATGAGGAGTTGCCATGGCAAGGAAATAATTTGGAATAACCCAATTGAAATCACCATTCTCAACCTTTTCATAGTAATCATATTGTTCAGTATCAAACGTATCAATATCAACAAGTTTCAATTCAAACACTCCTTTATACAATGCTTTGAGACAGTCCAAAATGTCAATCCAATAAGTTGCCATTCCGTAGCCAGCATCTCTGAACGGTGCGATTGGAAGGGACATCATCTTTTTCATAAATACGCTCAAAGCCTTCTCAGGTGTTTCTTTCTTCGATAAGAGTATATAAGACGCGAGTAAGAATATTGCGTTTGAGCATTTATCCATGTTGAATGCTGCAATCATCAATAATTGCTTGTCTTGAAGCGAAGGATCCTTAAAAATTCAGCACCGATGCTTTCAAATAATTTACCGATAGCTTCTTTTCAATAATACTCTTAAATTTGATGACTTGAGATATGTTTACTGGTCCAAAGTCCATGTGAAATCTACTGTAATTCAGTGCAACATCTACCGAGAACACGTGAATGTTCGTAGAATTATTAAGTACGATAGGGTGGGAAACATAACTATCGAAATAGAGTCGACCTACTATTTAAATCATTAGTAAAGATCTACCTGGTATGACTTGGACTGCGTTGGCGAGTATTTGGTCTGACTGAGTTGAGATCGAATCGTTTGATGCTGCTCTTGATCCAGCTTTCTTCTTACTTTTCTTTTCAGCGATAATCCTTGCTGATTTTTCGATATTCGAGAGATCATTAGTAAAGTTCTTTGTCTCGGAGCTGTTCATACTGATGCCTTCTGTGCCCTGTGAACTTTCTTGCTTTCGGTTTGATCCATGATCATGTTGCATTATCACATCATCACCGGGTGTAATCGGCGAAGGAAGCCCTGTGAAATACTGGCGGATTTGAGATGCATAGCTACTGAAGCTTGTGGGCTGCACAGGCGTTGTTGGTGTGATCATGTAGCCTTAAACGTCAGGAACATCTTTGATGAAGCACGATTACCTGTATTGTTCGGTTCAGGTGTGACGACCAGCGCCTTCTTAGATCTATTAAGTACATTGTGATCAGTAGTATCAGAATCCATTGAACGGTCTTGCATTGCAAGGAATGAATTTTTGTAAATCACTTATTAATAGCCACGTGTATCCATGACAACCGACTGCTCACTGTTGGAATTAATGCGAATTCCAGTTTAGTCGATTCAATACAAACACTTCCGTTTTGGTCTGAGTTGTGGCTGAGTAATTTGACGTAGATCTGTAGATCAAATAAAGTTAAGTGCGAAGTGAACGAAGTGCGTTTATTTCGGTCTTGCTAGGTTTACAGTTAAGTAAGTTAAGCGTTTCTTNTCCATTGAACGGTCTTGCATTGCAAGGAATGAATTTTTGTAAATCACTTATTAATAGCCACGTGTATCCATGACAACCGACTGCTCACTGAGTTTAACGCAGTTTCTCTAAAACAACTTCAGCCGAAAAGATACAAAGCAAAAGATGAGTTGAAACATTTATGTCCAATAAGCCATTCATTCACATGTGACACGATCTGCAAGACGATCAAAAGACTTCGCCGCCAGTTTTTTTAACCCCTTGAATGCCATGATTCTAAAAGTATTAAAAAATCACTTTCGTACAAATTTACCTTGGTTACTTTTGTGCGGACTTGTCAAGCCGCTTCTGTGATCTTGTTAAGATTCTGTAGGAGGAGGCACGAGTACTCTGAGTTGTTTCAGTCTGTGCATGGATAGTCTCATCACCAGNGGATTGCCCTTCTGATTCTTTGCTAAAACAGATGGAAGTTCTGTCGCGGGATGAATTAGTTGTCATGATATTCTCTGATTTTGTTTTGCTAGTTGATTTACACAAGGACAAGCATAGCAAGTTGCAGCTGAAGGGCGTGCAAAGTGTTTTTCATTCAGACACGGAAAAAAGTCAGGGTAAATTGTATCTATTCAGTCTATCAGAAGTTCATATCATTGATTTGTCATTAATTTATAAATCTGAGTCAAATGCGAATAAGGCTGATCAGGGAGTTAATATCGCTTACAAGAAAGCTTCCACGAAATCATCCTGCTACTTGTTCAATTCGATTCTGAAAAATATTCTGCAAGACAGTTTTACGAAAGAGTTTCCACCAAAGAATCAGCAAGATCTTGACTCTCTAGTGAAGTCTTTGTACGATTGCGACAGGTTGGCAAAAGAAGATCTCCAGAATGTGCTGTATTATATTCAATTGTTCTTTGAGTCTGAAGATGCTGTGAAAGCGCCTTTGAGTATAGGCAGCAGATTAATGTATGCTTACTTCTTATTGGATTCCTCGTCGACAAATGACAGGCTAAAGGAAGCATATCAAATATTGTCTTGCATTGGTTTAGATTTGATTGATAATTGTGACTATATCTATGGAACTATGTTCAAAGAGGGACAATTTAAAAAAGGCATGACTGAGGATGGCTATAAAGTTGAAATTAAAGGTCCTATTTTGACAAGGCCTGGCAGAACTGCTGAGAGTGTTCAGTATAACGCTGCACTTTTGATCAATGATTATAGAAACAGAAGAGTGAGAAATCAAAGGAATCGAGTGGAAGCTGTCAGTATTAGCTTCATGCCATTGAAAAGAAGAGAAGTATTTGATGAAACAGAATCTGAGGGGGAAGCCGAAACTGAGAGAGTTACTGAAGTCTCGAAAGAGATCGAGAATCCTGAGTTTGTTGAAGATCAAGTTATAGAAGAAGAGCATGAAGAAGAAATCTCCTCTACTGATAACGAGATAGAACATAGCGCAGTTCCTAATACTCCAGTTGCTGCATCGAAACCTGCTTCGTCTTGGCTTTCAACATTAACTGGATTGTTTAGTCCTTTCGTTCCAGGATATGGCAAAAGAGAAAGAAGTCTGTCAGCAGAGCATACTGATGACGAAGGAGAAAAGAAGAGTGTTTCATTTGGTAATGTTGAAGTCATTGAAGATAAACCAATCAACACAAAAATCAGAGCTCGGACAAAGAAAGCCAAGAGTACACCGCAGTTCAGCACTCCACAGCCTCAACGTCAAGAAGAGTAAGTTTTTCTATTATAGAAGATTAAATAGTTTTAGGCTAAGCAGGAGGAGAATAACAAGAAGTATGGTTAAAAGCAAGAGCAGCAGAGTCTGAAAATAGACCTTTGTCAGAATTAAAATAATTTACTGATAAACGTCTTTCAATGACTTTGTGGTTTCGGTTCTTCAGCGGATTGAAAGAGCTCAGACTTCGTTCTAACCTCAAGGAAATTATCTCTGAAGTCATTGCCTACTTGGGATTTCAATATTGCAAGCAAATCGACGAAATCATAAGCTTCCGAACCGGTAGGCTTGGGGTGAAGGTTTTTGAAACCATCGATTGCACCCAACATAATGTTGTCCATTTGAGTCTTATGTCCCAATTCGTAGAGCTTCATCAAGTTTGAAAAATGCTGTGCTCGATTGTCATTGACTGTTGCTTTGATAACGCCACTACACAGAACCTCAACAAACATTTTGCCCACCTCTCTGGAAAATTCACGGAGATCAATTACCAGAGGTTCTTCCCTTTCCATGCGAATATCCAACAACTCTGAAAGAACGATGCTATATTTTCTCAGAACTTCCGGATAAACAGAAATGTTCCCATCACGAAATTGTACCGTAGCCATTTCTTCACTAATGTCGATAGACCTGAAACACAAATCCGCAAACTCCGAGCGAGCCTTTTCCGTATCAATGTTGGTGCACTGACCATCTGGTCGTGGAACAAATAAAGCGAAAGAAACGGTCACATTCTGTCCATATGGTCTTGAAGACAAAGCTTCATACGGCATATGAAAACCTCTTTCACTTGGGTCTCTCCAACCGTACCAACCATTTTTCTTCGCGAAAACTAACGTGGTATTAAATAATAGCTGTTCATCCTTGCGTACAATGGCAGAAAATGTTGCCGGTAAGTCGAAACTGTCATCTGGACAATCTTCAACACAGCTGGCTGATACATTGAGCCCTTTGAGCCCATTTAATTCTTTGTTCTGAACCACTGAAAACTTCCACTTCCCATATCCTTTGATTAAAGCATTTTGAGGCTGCTTAAAGTCGATACGATGCACTTCATCTGAGGATCCGAAATCAACCAGCGTGAAACTCAAGTCTGCTTTCAACATCGGTACCAGACACCGATCCAAAACCATGGAACTACCAGCAGAGCAAAGAGCAAGAACCAGGAATGCGTATAATATGAACGAATTCATTTGAAACAAAGAATCTTAATCTGCCCAGATCCAGGGGTGAATGTAATTCTGCCCAATCGTTCATCTCAGGGGCTGCGTATCTTCCTTCAGGAAATCTAGTGCCAGGCAAGGCAAGGTAAATACTGATCTTGCATGCAGCGATAGACTTCTTCAACGTACTTCAAAGGTCTTTTTTAGCTGAATCGAGTTTGATTTCTGCTCTGTCGGGCACTTTAACTAAAGTGAAGCAACTACCTAAACAAAAGATTCAATATGGCAAACCCCTGTTTCACGAATCATTCTTGAATATATCGAGGTTGGCTTATACCTGTCACAAGCAGAACTAATTGTGAGACACTAGTTGGGTTCTATTCTGCAATACAAACGAAATCACAACAAGGAAACCTTAGCTGTAGTCAGCTCTGTTGGCGCAGCTGGCAGCGCGTAGGTCTCATAATCCTGAGGTCGTGAGTTCGAACCTCACACAGAGCACTTTTTGCCGGAATTCACTGTATTTTTATCGCGTTATTAAGGAACTGATGGCTCTTGATAATATTGTTCTAAAATGCGAACTCCCATGCCTTTTTCCACTAGTAACTCCTTTTAAAACCATTGTTCACAATGATCTTCTTGTTGTTTCGGCTGAGCGAACATAATCCGCATGCTGTAAAAGATTGTTTTATTGACATAGCGTAATCACTAACAGATTCTGCCTTTGATAATTAGTCCATAGAGATTATCATCGTGTTGACCTTCTGAGATGTTTAACTCAGGCGAAGGCGTCCCGAGAATAATGATGACCTCTCGTTTCAAGGTTATACCATTAATGCCTTCATAATTGATGTTTGCTGTCAGCCGCATCCACAAAACCAAGAAGAGTTTAAAATCTCTTGTATATCGCGTATCAATAGGATCGTAATCATTCTGCAATTCTCCCAAACACGTGCAACGCAAACAGAACGCACAATTTCTATTTTAGACTAGATAGTAACTACACAAAATAACATTAAAATATCGTGATGATACAGCGTACCTCAATGCGACATGTCAAGCCGCCTTTTTCCCTTCTTTACCAATGAAACAGATACGTTATCTTCAGCGGAATCATCTAAAGTCTTATCACCTATTTCATCGCTAATGGAAGCAGAATAATCTGGTGAAGGCTTGTCCGGAGGTTTGTATCGTAAGTGCTCAGGCCTTCCTTTCCCTGTTACTTCATCTCTTAGCACTCTTGCCATGTTCTCTCCAGCCATAACGTCTCGATGATAGAAAACATGACAATGTCTGCAATATTTCACACGCATCTTGAGTTGTTCTGTCCTGTTGAAACATCTAGGACACATTTGACTGGTAAGATACTCCTCAACGCAGACAACAGTGTAGCCAAGAGATCTTAATTTCATAACCAGATGTTTTTCAAACAATGTGTGAGTGTTGTCTCCCATTTCGAATTTGCTTGCTCCTATGCCAATGACAATGCGTTTGTTTTTGAAAGCCTCACGCTTCAGATTGTAGTTGATTTTCATTTCTACCATTCGAAGTATAGCATGAACAGCACGATCAAATTCGCCACGCAGAGCTTTCTTGATATCCCATCGATTCTTTTTCATGGATAAACTATTGTAGAAAGCATACAATTTTGAGTAACAGTTAAACCATCTAGTCGCGAAATTGGAAGCTGTTTCAGATTCAGTTCTCTCCATTAGCCGCTCTGTTTCATACACCCACTCATTCTCATATTTTTGTTTGTAAAACCATCTGTTGTATTTTTTTAATGGTCCTCGAAGGGCGTTCTTTCTGATAGCAAGATTGCGGATGGTATTCGAGCTTTCTTGTACTGCACAGACACCAGCAGAATACTTGTATCCTAAATCAACTCCAACAAAGTAGCAATCCTTTGCTTCATCCTCGGTCATTTTAGGAACTTTGTCATAAACAACGTCGGAGGGCTTGACACCAGCATTATCAAACAACCCTTCGTCAAAGTCGATCTCCTGAGTTGGTTGGAGAACGTTCCTCTTCTTTTTCTCTGCTGTGTCAAGAACATGCACTCTCAACTCTACACCATCAGTTTGCAATGTATTCTGTAAAATATATCGTTTGTTTGAAGTATCATTCTGAAGTCGAAGATGCCGATTTCGATTATCACCAAAGTTTTTGCCAAACAATTCCATAAAGAACCACCCCTTGTTCTGAATTACAAAGTCGTTCGAAATTCTCTTAAACACTGGAACAACTTGTTTAAGAACATCCAATAAGCCAGACTCGTTAACGGTGATCGCAAGGTCAGGAACGCGGGACAACGAAAACATACTCCATCGCTTGTTGCTTGGAAGTAGTTGATTCAGCTTGTAAAAATACTCAACCTTGCTTTTGCATAGCTTTTGTAGCTTGTTGATATCATCTTTTAGATTTGAGTCATATTCAAAGACAACTTCCTCTAATAGTTTCACTCTGCCAACAACTTGCCCAGCGAACTCGGTGTCCAACTGTTTAGCGATGAAATCAGTTGCCTGACACATACTGAATTTTGATAACGTATACAATTTCAGAGACTTCACCTCACGACCGCTGAACAATTTCTTATTAATACAACTTTTAAAGAGGTTTAACCCTACAGACTCAGTTTCATCCCTCCCAGTACCATTAAGAAACGACATGCATGGCTGCCAGAATTTTCTTCCTCCTTGACCTTTTGTATCACCAAGAATCATATCATCTAATTTTAACNAACAATTTCTTATTAATACAACTTTTAAAGAGGTTTAACCCTACCGACTCAGTTTCATCCCTCCCAGTACCATTAAGAAACGACATGCATGGCTGCCAGAATTTTCTTCCTCCTTGACCTTTTGTATCACCAAGAATCATATCATCTAATTTTAACGTGTTTTCATTTAATTTTATAATACTCTCTACAAACACTTCTGCGGCTTACTGGGCTTTGCGTTTCAGTATATTCAGCTGCGCCACTAAAATACTGAAACAATGAATTATTTCTTTTTCATACTGTGCATATTGTCTTTGTCGATTTCTTGTTGAAAGCGCTCCAATACTCCACGTCTTTGTTACAAACTTTGCTTTCAAACTTGACATTTCTCTACTTTCGTCCGTGACGTTACGCGAACCTGTAGCACCAGCCTCAGCAGCATCAGGCTTATTTCTAAAATTTCTTGATGATGGCTGGTGTTTCGCAGACGTCTTTTTTCTCTTCTTACTTGAATTGTGAACGGTTGTTGAAGCAGAAGATCCACTTTCTTCATTGCTTTTACTTCCATCTAAATTTTCCTGTAATGCTTCAATTTGAGATTCCAAAATTTCCTCCGGCTGCTTTGGTCTTTTCTTCAGAGGTAAAGGTGGAACCTCAGACACACACAGTGATTTTCTATCCACAGTTTTATATTTATATCGCGTCAAGCTTTCATTATCATCATTGAACTTCTCACCTAGAACACGAAACGGATTTTTGTGAGTCCAGCGTTTAAGGTCCAAATTATCGCTGTTCCCAATATAATTTTCCTGCTTATCCTTCCATGCAATATTGTAATTGTCCCATTTTTTAATACTCTCCTTATTAAACAAAGATAACTGTAATAGTTTTTCTGTTCTAGCGTCGTGATGTAGAACATGTTCCTCTTTGCACTCAAAGATCATAANAGCACCAGCCTCAGCAGCATCAGGCTTATTTCTAAAATTTCTTGATGATGGCTGGTGTTTCGCAGACTTCTTTTTTCTCTTCTTACTTGAATTGTGGACGGTTGTTGAAGCAGTAAATCCACTGTCTTCATTGCTTTCACTGCCATCTAAATTTTCCTGTAATGCTTCAATTTGAGATTCCAAAATTTCCTCCGGCTGCTTTGGTCTTTTCTTCAGAGGTAAAGGTGGAACCTCAGACACACACACAGTGATTTTCTATCCACAGTTTTATATTTATATCGCGTCAAGCTTTCATTATCATCATTGAACTTCTCACCTAGAACACGAAACGGATTTTTGTGAGTCCAGCGTTTAAGGTCCAAATTATCGCTGTTCCCAATATAATTTTCCTGCTTATCCTTCCATGCAATAATGTAATTGTCCCATTTTTTAATACTCTCCTTATTAACAAAGATAACTGTAATAGTTTTTCTGTTCTAGCGTCGTGATGTAGAACATGTTCCTCTTTGCACTCAAAGATCATAATGGCTTTGTCAAAATTCGAGTCCGAACCAACAGTTTCCAAGAACGATTGTACTATCTTGTTGCATGACTCAAGATCAGCTTTTCTGTATTGTCTTATCCATTTGTACACGCTAGCAATAGCCCATCCTCGAACATTTGAGCAGTAATCATTTCCACTTAATACCGCCAATGCACGCAATGATGCAAGATTTAGCTTAAGCTTATTTCTGGCTTCAGCGACGTCAATGTATCGGATCATTAAATTATTTCCTTGAAGAGAAGGAACAGCCCAAATGCCGTCATTTAGATGAAACACCATATCAGAGTCAGTGCTGATAACATTTACGCGACCTTTTCTTGTACCAATGAACACATCCGCTTCACCGGCAGCTTGCTCAATCTTGTACCCAAGCCTCTTCAGTAGAGCCATTATTTCTTCTTTGTCTTGCTTGGTCAGAACAAAAGCTTTCTTGATCAACTTCTTCATTAAGATTTTCTTTGCTTTAGACACTCTCTTCAAAGACACTTTATCTTCTGCTCCCTCTTGATCTCCATTATCTTTGCATAGAGAGTCAACAAAATACTGAAGATCCTGAATAGATTGGCGCTTGCTCTCTAGCCTTTTGATGTGAGTGACTTGCTTCTCTTCTGTTGATCCACCATCAAAGACAATCGTTANTCCGCTTTACCGGCAGCTTGCTCAATCTGGTACCCAAGCCTCTTCAGTAGAGCCATTATTTCTTCTTTGTCTTGCTTGGTCAGAACAAAAGCTTTCATTATCAACTTCTTCATTAGGATTTTCTTTGATTTAGACACTCTCTTCAAAGACACTTTATCTTCTGCTCCCTCTTGATCTCCATTATCTTTGCATAGAGAGTCAACAAAATACTGAAGAGCCTGAACAGATTGGCGTTTGCTCTCTAGCCTTTTGATGTGAGTGACTTGCTTCTCTTCTGTTGATCCACCATCAAACACAATCGTTAAATGCTTGCTTTTAGGAATAATGGTTGTAATGCGCTTGACCATATGATCCCAATCTTTTAATCTTGAGTACTTGGAGCACAATAAAGGATAGAAGACCGCCTCGAAGTCCAAGTAGTGATGCTCATTTCGAAAAGGATAATTTTCATAACTGATATGCTTTGAGAAGAGCTTTTTGGCTTTGAAGAACTTNGATTTTCTTTGCTTTAGACACTCTCTTCAAAGACACTTTATCTTCTGCTCCCTCTTGATCTCCATTATCTTTGCATAGAGAGTCAACAAAATACTGAAGATCCTGAATAGATTGGCGCTTGCTCTCTAGCCTTTTGATGTGAGTGACTTGCTTCTCT